ATTACTTAGTACATATCAATGTAATTGTAAATGTCAATGTCTTGTATAAACATATATAGTGGCATGAATGGACACTCTCGGCCAGCATGGTCAGAATTCACAGTTTTCGAAAAGTATTTTTGAGCATTCATATAACAATATAAGAGCTGCTCTATGGAGGAGTGTTAACAAAATAGCGTACTACTATGACACCGAGAGTATAAACGATTTTTTTTCTGCTTGTTTATGACTTTGCAATTACCAGGAAAAAAATTACATTGCAGATTTTTTGCTTTGTAAACGAGTTGGTGAAATGCTGAACGGATTGAATATCGATTCACCATGATTTTCTTTTCAAACCAATTTTTGTTCTTGTGCCATAAGCGATGTAGCAAACCTTAAACCACTGAATATCGAATGAAGGTATACTAGTACCCTTCTCCGTGTTAGTGGTGTTCCGATACTAAATGAATTAACTAAATCAAGTGACTTCTGGTTTGACTGCGGACCATGCTGATCGAGAGATTTCACTTTTTTCGTGTACATGAGGCATCGATAATGTACAAATGTAACCAGTATTTCCACTAGAAACATCAGCTGTTACTCCAAGTTGTTACACGCACTGTAGTATACTCACCTACAGTACCTCCAGCAACGGTTAGTAATGTTGCGAAAATATCAGTGAAATGGTACATCCTAAAAAGATAAAACACATCAATCGCCTTACATCGTTATTAATTCTTGAGCATGAATGAAGCGAACATCGCAGTAAAATGTGATTGGTATGATTTGTCCAAGGCTATGTATAACGCAGTGTGCATTTGTATTAAATTATATTCCGTTCTTTAGGTTCTACACAAACACTTGTTATCAAAGTAAATCAAATACAAATTCTAGAAGTCTGTGAATCTTCATAAGTGGTGCAATAACATAGCAGTAAGACCAGCCTGGGCATTTCATTTTTAAAAAAAAACATGCCGTTCATACAAGTTACGAGATTGTAGAATATCAAGCGAAATCGAAATAAATAATATGTAACATACATAACATCTTAACATTGAATAGTGTAATGGGAATAACATACCCAATCGTAAATCGTCAAAGTAAAATTCGTATGAAAACAAACAGGTTCATCAACATAAATAAAACTAAAATACATCACAACACATGATCAAGTCAGTTCGAAAATAAAACAGGGGTATACAATTAAATGGTAACGTTAGGCTTTTTGAGAGGATTGGCCACATGATACTTGACATCCGTCTTACGCCACGTTTATACCGTCTTATACACGTCTTATACCGTAATATAATGAACTATGCAAGAAATCGAATTACATTATCAAATCATGTGTGAATATTATATACTAAAATTCCTAGCTTCCTTATTGAACACTATATCTCGTGTACTAATATATAATAAACCTACTTACTCATTGTTTACGGATTCAGGATTTTTCAACATACTACCATGGGCAAATCCGGGTACTTTGACCCCGCCTTCCCACATGGTAGCTTTGTTTCCTCTGTACGGATAGTTAGATCCAGCAAAAAAGTCATCACCGCCATTTAAGAAGAACAATACCACATCAAATTAAACCTTGCAAACATATTGCCAGTTTGTTATGTTCAAATACTGAAATGTAAAATGACACCCATACTTACATCACTGAGGAACACGAATATTGTGTCATCCCACATACCCTTATCTTTTAAATCATTCCTAAAATATGACAGGGAATTAAATAATTCTCTTGTACACACTTCCCACTCTGAAATTTGAATTGAGAACAATACATCATTTATCATACACAAGACCACGTTAACACATAGGTGTGACGTCACACTGTGATGATAAGCGTTTCATAAATTCCATATGAGGACATGTATGTGATTTGTTACCGAAATACTTTAATATTTCACATGTTGGCATACGTTCAAACAGATATGGAGAATCTACTTCATTATGTTATTGTGATTAGATATTGCTAACACAACTTGCCTGCAAATGTACGCCGATCTATATCATCTACTTCCACGGTGTTTTCAAACCTTTTTGGCGCCTGTGAGAAAAACTCTGATTTAAATATTTGTTCATATTATTCTGCACGATTCATACTTGGGGAGTCATTCAAGTCAAAACATTTCAGTTTAAATCGACATGTAACCCAACACATTGTTTAGTCATTTGGTGTGCAATGAATTGCGTATTCCAACATTGACTCTGATGTTTTGGTAATAACTTTATATTAATGTGTATTGCGAGTTCAATTTATGTAGTGGTCACATGTGATGAGCCAATGTAAGAATCAATTGATACTTATCCATACTCACCTGTAGAGGGAAGTGTGGCGCCATAAACAGAACATAGAGAAACAATGGAGATTCCGGGTTATGATTTTTCACAATCCGTTCTGCTCTTTCTGAAAATAACAACTGTAGTCAAATAGAAATGAAATGGTTATAACGATTGTAAACATTGTTATTTAGAAATCAAAGGAATCTGCCACCTAAGTTTACGTGATTATCAAATAACATTTCCTGCATACCGTGTTATGTGTTCCGTTTTGGTGTGTAACCACTCCGGTATTATCTCTCATATCAATACCCGTACCTACTGGTGGGCCTCGAACTGTAATAAACAGACAGTGATTACAAACTTGAATCCACATCAAAACGGTTGCACACAATTATTTGACATCTGTCAACTATAAACACAACGTCTAACCTATTTGAATGAGATGCAAGGAATAAAAACGTATGTTATTCCGCAAGTCCTAAAATGAGGCTTGACAATTGTGTGTATTTATTTCATCATGTGGCATAAGTTCGCCAGCACACCTGAGAAAGATCATTGAATTGAACAAAAAAGTAGAATGCATGTTGCATTTCAAAATATGTTCTTCCTATTGTAAAAGTATATTAGTACGCTCTCAGGTATACTGACCTACTGTAATGCCAGGCAGAGAAGCAAGTAAATTAGAAGATATAACTGATATGGCTGTTTTCATATTAGTTCCATCCAGATGTGTGTCACTGCTGCCAGATGGCAGTCGCTACTGGTACGCCATGAAAATATTGGACTCGCGTCTGTGTGTCTTTGTAGTCACTTTAAGTGCGCTTATCAAACACAGTTTTTGAACAGATTGGAGTAGTTATTGAGGCGAATGCTTAGCCTAATTACTAGTTAGTGTATTTTATAAGTTCCGTAAACACCTCTATACAGCTAGAAGCGATACGATTATCTTGCTGGGCCAGTTATTTTTACCACAATAAGACAATTTATATTCTAAGTAACTTTCAGTACTGCAAATAGCTTGAGCTACGATAGTATGACTCAATTTTCACATACATGGAAAAGTTAAAACGTGCGATTCAAAATCTGATGTAGCTCCTTGGTAGCATCCGTAATGCGAATCAAATCCACGCCACATTGGTGTCATTGACCAACTGCAGTCCCCGAGATGCCATCTGTAAATAAATAAATAAATAAATAAATAAATAAATAAATAAATAAATAAATGAATAAATAAATAAATAAATAAATAAATAAATAAATAAATAAATAAATAAATAAATAAATAAATAAATAAATAAATAAATAAATAACATTATCAATCATATGACATTCATTCAGCACAAGGGCATAATATTCATATCTGTAAATGTTGCAATCTAGTATGTTATTCCCATATAGTCGTGCTACAGAAAGAGGTCCCTGAGTCCCCCAACCCGCTCCTAACTTGAACCCTGGATCTCCTGTCTCAGTGTAATTGTATATACCTTTCCGAATAACTATAAGTGAACAGTGGAATATATACAATTTAAATGACAATAAACACTGAAGAACAGGATCGGTATTACAGTTATAAATGAGGAGCCCTCATAAACCCTTGCCACAATGATTTTACCTTTCAATGTCAGCTGTTGTATTTCAAGCGTAAACATTGTTACAGAGAATGTACCTTGACAATATGGAGTGGTATTATGCAGTATCACTATTCGAATAATTGTAATGCATTTATGTGCGATGTATATAATGTTTGGTGAAATATATACATACTCAACAATAATCATCTCTCACTTACTTTCCAACTATATGATTCATGTATCCTTGCTCTTTCAGTTTATCTGCCAGTGTTGAATAGTTAAGAGGCAAATAGTAGGGTTGCATTGGTAGAATCACAAGATGCTAAAAACAGAACAAATATGATATGTAACACGCTGATAACGTTTTAGGTTAACGTTGTCTTTGTAACTGATACATCGGTGCAACAACATTTCAAGCATCTGCATGACTTTTCTACCGGTATGACGATAGGAAAAAACAATGTTTTAAAATTACATTCATTGAGATACTGATTCATAATTTAATATGTGTATTATGATTGCGTTTGATTTTTTATAATATTTTGAAATACAGTTCTGCAGCTTATAATTCCTTTTTTTAGAAAGAATCTGGACACATAGTAAATCCACCACATTATTCAGTACTAATTATCACTATTAAGGTGCAATACTTACATTTCTCTAAAAGTGTGAGTATTAAGCACGAAACGCAAATGTCAGTGCGGTACATGTTCACTATATTCATCCAATTGTTCGCTCGATTGGAATTTTATATACAGTTAGGGAAGCTTATTTTTGATTAGAACATATCACTGGCGTACCTGTATACCTTTGCTGGATATCTGCCAGTCATTAAAGCAACACGTGACTTGTAAACATGACAATTATGATTGTGGTGTATAACATTTGCTCAATGTTATTAGGTGTACGCCATATACAATAATTAACGCAAACATACATTGATTTATTTATGACTATTTAAACTACAAACTTTTCGATATTGGGGTTTGTGGTTTCATTGTTTTAATATGTGGGGCACTATTTTATTTATATTATCATTTTCTAATAAATATTGCATTATGATTGAGGCCCTCTTTATCCTTCGTTTCCTGAAGTAGAGGACGCTATTACGAAAGTAATAGTTAATGATTGGCCTGTCAATAAATATTTAAATGAAGTCTATTTACAGCTTTCTGGTGTATTGTACAGCATCTAAATAGTCCTATAACTTGTTTTGAAGGCCACGTACTGTGCGATCGGGACAGCCACTCTATACTGCTTTGGACTCTGATCTGTGCCATTGTGGTCGAACAATTGTGGTTTTATTGTTCATGGGTTTGAATATGCAAATTTATTTATGATATCTATGTTCACCTTTGTACGAGATGCACGATAATAACAGTATTTAAAACTCAGAAATTATGGTCACTATTACAGTGAATAAATTTTTTGATTAAAACACACACACACGATGTTGCAATTGTAAGAACATGTATATACTTACGGTGTACAAATTGGCTGTGAATACATGTTCTTGAAAATAACGCCCTCATTAGCAAGATTATTCAAATTTGGAGTAGGAATGAAATCATTATGCCAACCAACATCGTTCCAGGCTTTAATAAATAATATGACGTAGTGAAATTAAATGAATTATCCATTATCACCTTATTCGATCATATATTGATTTTTTGATTCAAACCTTGATTTTAATATATTTTGATAATTAAACAATTTAAAAAAAACTCGTAGAAACACTTTTCTGTTCAATATTCTCATATAACTGCTGATGAAATCTTTTTAAAGCGTGAAGTGAAATTTGCTTTAATTGAGATACTGTTACACAAAAGCAACACATAATCATAGTTAAGGTGTGTTATGAGTTACAAGAAATAGAACACGTACAATAGGCAACTATTCATTTACACGTACCTGCATCATCGATCAGTATTAATACAATATGAGGTTTCTTTCCTTTGATATTACACGAATTATCATCATCATCATCATCATCATCATCATGTGCCACATCTGCCGTCTGTTAATAGGGAATTTTCTTAGATGTCACCGACACCGACCATCATGTTTTCACATCATCTAGCACATAATTAAATATTACACGAAATAAACGGAATTTAAACTGATGGCGGATGTGCTAATACACGTTTAATGAACGACGAATGCCTTCAGTTAAGTTCAGTGTACCAGGCTTTACACACTAATGAATAGGTGAATTTCCGTTCAACTACGAAATCTCGCTAGTTGCGTGAAAGACGCAGATCTGTGAGAGAGCACCAGGAGAGAGATAAGAGAGCAGTCATATGTAAGGTTGAATAGTTGAAAAATGAACGTGAGGCTGGAAAATTGAAAAATTAACGTGAGGAAAGAGAACGTGGGGAAAAGGACAGAGAACATGAAGCAAAACAGAGAGAGGGAGCGAACGAAACTGAAGAGAAAGAGTAAGTAAGACAGCTTAACCTGAAATGTTGAGGTTGTCTGCAGAAACTAATGGACAACATGAAGGTGTAGAACACTTGGCTCATTTCATTGTTGGTTCTAAGGGTAAAAAACTACCATTGTTTGATGAGAAGTGGGGTGAGATAGACGCATTGATTTTAAGGTTTGAGCAGACTTAGCTGATAAGTTTAGAGATACACGTAAACAGACATATAGTAAATATCAGAGATCTGGCCAGTTTCAGCGTGGCAGTCGAAATATTCAGTCCTAGAACATACATCAGAAAGGTAGAGGACAAACATCAGATAGGTAGAGGACAAGAATTGTATTGTCTCCCTCAATTTATAATTTCAAAAGATGAGTTGTAAAAAGTAGGATTGCTATATTGCGTGTGCCACGTATTACATTGCATCAGAAAAGCTGCACGTGCATAATGCGGACGTACATGGCTCACATTCACGTATGAAGCGAAGACTTACAGAATTTCACGGTTCTATACTACGAATTTCCACTTGCAAATTCATACCGCTATATCAAATGGTGGAATATTTCAGTTGTTTTATCCACTGTAAACAAGGACGGCAACATGGCAGCCAAATATGTCGTATGCTGACAAAACTAGCTTTTAGTTATACCCCACAAGGATAATGCAATAATAATCGTATTCACGTGTATTGTAAAGATGTAAAATAAGTATGCGTTAAATGTGCATTACAGTTTACCACTTTTCTATAATATCTAAGAATTTATACGATCGTGTGAACTACACAACTTAACTATTATTTTACCAACAAAAAATCGTCACCATGAAATCACACACAACGAAGAAAACAAGATGGGGTGTTGTATTAAACTTTATATGATATTTTTTTACATACACATTTTTACTAACATTTGCCGCACAGTTGGTTACAGTGTAACAGTGTATTTGAACAAATAATTGTGAATGAGTTATAATAGAAATGTGCAACCTATATCCAAAATATAGACAGTACAGGAAGGCAATTCTACGTAAGGAATATATACAAAGCGCTTCTTGGTAACAAGCATAATTTGTAACACATATAGCATAATTTGGTAAGTGGCATGACATACCTTGATACTGTTGTGTGTGTGTTTTCTACCAATGATTAACACAAATGATTGGCAAACACAAAGTACAGAGAATAATATAGAGAGATATAAAACCACATGTTGCATATGTTTCAATGTATATACATGCCATTGTCTGATTAGCATAAATTAACATATGATTCAAAAGCTTTGTTGTGTAAAATTAAGATTCCTCCAGCTTTTTTACACTTGAATCTGGTTATGCACAACATATTTTTAACCAGATACATCTTATTCGTAGAGGTGGTTGATACACGAGATGTCATTTACTGTATTGCCCATCAAACTCGACTTCAGAATACTGCTGGCAAATGACGTCATTCATATAATTCAGCTCTACAGACAAGCATGCATATCGTAATACCATATTATTTGTTATTTAAAAAACCCTGTTTTAATAGCAAATGTTTTTACATTATAATGTGAAACCAAACTAATTGGTGGTATGTTTTACCAGACAGAAATAATTCTTAGTTAGGTATGTGACATTCAAATGACATCTA